AAAACGTCAATAGTTTTTCGAATAATTTTTAATAATAATTTTTAAGAATAATTTTTTCGCTGAAATATTTCTTTTACACCTATAAGATTTTTATTCTAACATTTTATTTTATTTTACTAGAAATAAAATTCCTTCAAAACGTGACAAACGTCGAGAAAATAAACAAATGTTTTTACATTTTAAAAAACGAAACATTCCAAAACATTTTAAAATAATAACATTTCTACATAAACGATTTAAAGTAGTTTTGCGGTAATTAAGTAAATTAGTGCAGTTGATGTCAATAAATATGTAAAGCAAATAAAAAGAATTTAATGACGTCAAAAATCACGTCGTGCTTATGCGTCGCGCAGTTCTTATTCATCGCAAGGCCTGTATTTGCCAATCAAAGATTTTTTTTTTGAACTTCCAAAAATTGTTTGACATAGCACTTTTGACTTTTAAGGCTTTTTTATGCTGGATTTTTTAACAATATCGAGTCATAAATCAAGTCTTTAATAATTTAATAATACTAAAAACCATCTTAATTGCTTACAGGTGATCTGTAGTGTAGTAAACTCAATGGTCAATAATTAATACTAAGCAAACATAGAAGACTTTATTCTTCATATAATAATATGTAAACTAAAATATACAAACAGGTTAGTTTTAGTTTACATATAATAAAACTAAACAAGGATAATAATAATTTGAATCAGCACATTCTACTAAAGCACTTCTTCTAAATAAAATAATATATTTAAATAAGTTCAAACAGTTCAAATATAGTCATTTAAATATTTAAAAGGATTCTGGAATCTTCCTGAACAACAAGGGACTGATTCTTCAATAGAAATTCCATTAGGATATGTTGGAGAAAAGATCGAGATTTGAGATGTTTTGGATGGAGAGACTGTTTGAGATGAAGGGATTGTTTAAGGTTCATTGGAGTTATCTTTGTAGTCATTGGAGTTATCTTTTTAGTTATCATTTCCATCATTATCACTGTTTATATCAAGCATTGGTGCAAAATGTCTTGTAACAACAGTGGTCTTACATCCATCAGGCATTCTTACATATTTACCATTTGCCTCTAAAAGCTCAATCTCTCCAACCAGAGGTTTATATTTGCTGTGTCAAACATGCCTTTTTAGCAATACAGGACCCAAATTAGCTAACCATGTAGGAACAGAGTGTCCTTTAAAAGAATGTCAACTGAAACCAAATCATTCATGAGGTGTAGCATTAGTAGAAATGTATAGTAAGGAATGCATTGAATAAAGGACATCAAGTAATACGTGATCCCAGCTCATGGTAGGTAAGTTTTTTGATTTGAGAGCAAGCAAAATTCCTTTCCAAATAATCCCATTGTATCTCTCACATTGACCATTACCCTGAGGATTATAAAGAGTAGCTCTACTCAGGTTGACACCACAAAAATTAAGAAAATTATGGAGCTCTATTGACATGAAGCAAATGCCTCGATCTGAACATATAAAAGCTGGCATACCAAATAAAGCGAAAAGTTGAGTTAATATCCAATATAAAGTATTTTTAACAAACAAATTGCGATTGAAGTAGAGATATCATAACGAGGAAATACAAAGAAAAATCTTGAAAACTCGTTAACAACTGGTAAAAATAAAGAGCAGATTCTTTGATTTTATAAAATGATACATTATGGTAATTCCATGGTGACGAAGAGATTCATGTAGTTCCCTAAAAGAGGGTCTATTTATAGTCATAGAGCATCAAGATTTAGAGAGGGCATCAGTAACAATGTTACATTCAGGGCGTTAAACTACATCATAGCAGTACAAAGAAAGTTCTATCCTCCACCTCAGAATCTTGTCATTCTTAACTTTTCCACTCTTGTTATTGTCAAACATGAAAGAGACAGAGTAGTTAGTGACTAGGGTAAAATGTTAACAAACAAGGTAGGTGAACTATTCAACAATAGCATAAGCTTCCTTCTTAACACAAGAGTGTTTTTTTCAGTAGATGAAAGTTTGCAAGAAAAGAATGCAACTGGTCTTCCAGCCTGATTGAGAGAATTTGCTATGGCAAAATTGGAGGCATCTGTTTCCACCTCAAATGGGATATATTCATCAATAGCTTGTAGAGCTAATTGAGAGATTAATTCTTTCATTTCATTTCATTTCATTCATTTAATAGCTTCAGCAGTAGTGAAAAGGTAGAAGTTTAAGATGAAGGATAAATTTTGTCAGGAACATGTTTGATATATTGGGAATAGTATGGGAAAATACCAAGAACTCAACAGAGAGAAACACTATCAGTGGAAGCAGACATTTCAATTAATGGCTTAAAGCAATCTGGATCAGGAGAAAAAAAAACACTTTTTATAATACAATCTAGAAAGTTTATACAACGAAGTAGAGAATATAGACTTTTCTTCATTGAACGCAAACATTGCTTTCTTAGAAGCTTCAAGAAATTTCTCTAAATTGAAATCATGTTTATTTTTAGAAGTACCACATACAAGCAAGTTAACTAGATATACAAAGGTGTCTTCTAATTTGTTTTCTAGAATAAAATTATCCATGATTCTTTGAAATTGTGCAACAACATTAGTGAGGCCAAAAGGAATTCTTTTAAATTGGAAAAGATGTCCATTGGACTCAAAGGCAGTATAATACTTGTCACTTGTCAGAGAGGTTATTGGTGATAGGAAAAGGATGCTAGCTTTCATTGTAACAATTGTTAGAGAACAAATTTTTAAAGAAGTTTCTTTGCCACCATAATTGATATAAAGACCTTTGTGCAACTGTAAGAAATCTCTACCAACTATGATTTGTGTGCAAGTATTGGGTATAACCAAAAAGTATATTAGAGTATTTCATACTAAATAAAATGAACTTAGTTAAAACTCTACCTATAACTTGACAAGATAAGAAAGGATTAGCCATAGAGACTCTTTTATTAGAAAAGGAGTATATTAAGTTTTAAAGAGTTACATAATAACTTGATATTAAATGTGTCAGAGCTTCCAGTTTCAAGAATAGCTCTTACCTTGGCCCTAACAATAAAGATGTAAACAATAGAATTGAGAGAGTTGATAGAAGAGCAAGTAATCGAGGCTAAACTTGGTGCATGGAAGTTAGCAGACATGACAAAGTTCTTTGATGATTTGCATACTTTCTTGAAATGTCCTTTCTTACCACAATTGTTACATTCTGCATCTCTGGCAGGACATGATTGTCAAGGGTAACATTTACTTACACAGAAATAACAAAGTCCACTAGGCTCAGTAGAAACCAGAATAAGCTCAATAGTACATTCAGAATGTTTATTAATTGTAGCAAAATTACTATTGTCTGTGTGTGAATATATTTTGTTATATGAACGATTGTCAAATTGTTCCGGTCTGTGATATTTATCCATTAAAATATGAAGAATAAATTGTAGTGAAGTAAATTCAATAGTCTATAAATAATACTAAGCCAACATAGAAGGCTTTGTTCTTCATATAATAATATGTAAACTAAAATATAAAACAGTTTAGTTTTATTTTACACATAGTAAGACTCAACAAGGATAATAATAACAATAATAATGAGAATCAGCACATGATTTATGAAACGTTTTTACTCATTTTCTGAGTTTCACTACAAATTCCTAAAATTTAACTGTCAATTGTGGTACCAAATTTTTATTAGATATTTAAATATTTCAATGGCACATTCAAATTCATTTTCTCTGCCATCATCATCAGTGCTTCAACTTTATCATCAGCTTGATTAACAATATTGTTTTCTGGTAATACAGCACTTTACTTTTTAAAAAATACAAAGACAATAGCTGATAACACATTTATTGCTTTTCATTAAGTTGGCTTCATTACTAACAGAAACAACAATGACCTTGTCTCTAAACTCAAACCAAATGAATCAAGCTTATAAGTAATAATTCCAATAGCTTTAGCTTCTGGAATTGTGCTAAGCACTCTTGAAATTTCAAGAGATACAAATTTAATTTATTAGTTATAATAAACATTTATCTTTTTTTATAAAAAAAAAAAAAAAAAGCAATTAAGTTATCTATTACTTGCAGTAAGAGAGTTTGCTTTATAAGAGAGAAGTTCTAAAAGGAAACTTGTTCTTTTAGGTTTGTGTTCAGACATTTAGGATTATATGTCTTTTTTTTTTTTTACCATTTATTTAACCAAAATATGAAAAATATACAAAAATATATTATAAACTCACATAAATAAGATTAGGTGTCACTCATATAGTTAAAAACTATTCAATGGAGTGACACCTAAAAAAAAAAAAAAGACAAATACAAAAATAAAAAACTATAAATAAAATATAGAAAAAATTTAAAAAAAAATAAAGAACAAAAAAAAAATAATAATAATAAAAAAAACAAACAAAGCACTTATAAATAAAGAAAATATTAATAATTAGAATAATAATAATATAATTAAAAATAATAATAATATTAATATGAATAAAAAAATATTACAAATAGTAACTATAATATATAACTTTTAATAAAATTATAACTGATAATAAAAACTATGGTAAAAATAATTATAGTAAAGTTTATAATTATGACAAAATTATAAAAAGAAACATTAAATTTGCAAAAATTATGAAAATAACGATAAAACTATTACTGGAATTGTTAATGGAATCACTATCGCTATCATTATAATTAACATTATAAAGGCTTCTAAAACAAAAATAAATTAATGATAATAGTAATAACAGTAGTAAAGTTAAAATAGTATTATGTGGTTCCAGTGAGAAATATCGTAAAGGAGAAAATGTCATAATTCTTATGGAAGTGGAAGTATATAACCCTATACATCTAAGATGAGAGTTGCAACAACAATTAAAAATAAATAAATAAGTTGTTTAGCTTAACTATAACAAACCTCTAAACTTTTCTCTGGGAAGAAAAATAAATAAATAAGGAAGTGTTTAACTTGGTTGTATATATTAATGAAAAAAAATAATTAAATAAACGAAGAAAAGAATCAAAACTTAAAAACTTACCATTTTTAGTCCTGCTTGTTATACTTTCTTTAAATTTAATTTCTATTCTAAAATAAAAAATTTTAACAAAAATAAATAAATACTCTATATTTTTTGAATTTTTTTTTAACAATATTTGTATAATAATCAAAATATTCAGTCATAAAATAAAATTAATTCATTAAAACCATTGTAAAAAAGCTTTCTTTGACTGAATTATATATACATATATATAATTCAGTCAAAGAAAGCTTTTTTGACTGAAATATATATATATATATATATATATATATATATATATATATAGATATATATATATATATATATATATATATATATATATTATATATATATATATATATATATATATATATAGTATATATATATTTATATATATATATATATATATATATATATATATATATATATATATATATATATATTTAGTCAAAAATATATATATGTAAATATATATATAAATATATATATATATATATATATATTATATATATATATATATATATATATATATATTTAGTCAAAAATATATATATATATATATATATATATATATATATATATATATATATATATATATATATATATTATATATATATATATATATATATATATATATATAATATATATATATATATATATATATATATAAACACACATATCTATCTATATATAATATATAGATAGATATGTGTGTTTATATATTACTATTGTATTATAGTTTTAAATTGTTAAAAAATTAATATCAAATATAAAAATACTCACAATACTACACACACATACACACACGCACACACACACAAACACACACACACTTACACACACACACACACACACACACACACACACATCTGATACCTAACTCCATACTACTTTTTTGGAAAAAATAAAAAAACAATTGCATGTTCTCTCTATTTAGTTACTCAATGTAATTACTGAAGCCCTCAGCAGCTACCTATTTTAGTATGATGTTAGACTGCTTATAAGAGTATGCATTATTAAATAAAAGTGTACTTCTTAAAAATGTACTTCTACATTTTAGGTATATATAATAGAAACTACATGATAGATCTATTATTTTATTTAACATACTTACTTTCATATTTATATTACTTATTTAAAATAATAATAACAATAATATTATTAAAAATAATGATAACAATATTTATTATTATGGTCATTATCAATGTTATTAATATTGTTATTATTGTTGTATTATTATTATTAATACAAAAATAATGTAGACTACAATTAATAATTTTAAGTTGAAAAATTTTAATGTTACAAAAAACAAAAAAAAACTAAAACAAAGTCAAACTATTAAGGAAAAGAATAAATACTACATTATGGTGTGAGCAAAATCTGGAATATACTAGATGATATTAAAAAAACCTTTTTAAGGTAAAGTTAACTTCATGTTTGACAGTGGCGGATATAAAGTAGGGTGTAAAAATAAAACTTTATTCATTCCTAACGCATTCCTAAAAACATAATAGAAAAAAATAAAAAATTTAATTGTGAGTAAAACTTATTTAATTACTTTTTAAAGAAATATTTCTGAAACTTAATCGCTAAAAATCGATTTTAGCGGTTGAAAAATTCATTTTAATTCCAAATTCATTTTCCATTTATTTTCAATTGCCTTACTTGTTTATAGTGCGTTTATTTCATTTTCACGTGACTGGTTCAGTCAAATTTTGGTTCTAGTTTTATTTCATTTTTTATCCTTTTGTGTCAATTTAAGTTCTAATTTCTAGAGCAATTTCGGTTTTATTATTTGTTCTGATTTCTAAGTAACTTATTTTTAATACAGCTTTAGTTTCAAATTTAATAGGTTTATTTTAAGTTCCAGAATAGTTTTCTTATCCATTTTTCTCCTGCACTATCAAGATTGAACTAGATTGTAGACTTTTACATGCTCGACTTTAGCAACACCTCTGAAATTAAACGGAATGTTATGAATAAAAAGAAGTTGATTCCGCTGTTGTTTGTGTATATATATATATATATATATATATATATATATATATATATATATATATATATATATATATATATATATATATATATATATATATATATATATATATATATATATACATATATATATGCAAACGATCGCAGTTATGTTAATTATCTAACATCAACTAAATTCAAAAAGATGATATAATGGAACAATTATACGCATGAAAATATTTTGTTACGACTTTATATCAATAGATTTCAAAGCGCTTTAGAAAAAAAGCTTTAGTATATGCTTTAGGGATATAATATTTTGGTATCCACTGTTACCTGTATGGATTATGGACATAATTTGGTTTAAAAGTTATTAAAAACTTATTGGTTTCATAGTTATACAATAATCATAAAATGTACAAATGTCATAAAATATGTTCATACTCAGCAAAACATTCTTTAAGGTAATTTAAAGTTGACCTCTATACATGGGCTCCTGAAGGATTTTTTGAAGTTTAAGACACTTTCACACATTGTGCTAACTCTTAACTTAAATATATTCATACTTATGCCAAATGAGGAGGCCATCCAGAAATTAGGGATGGCGGAGGTCTGAGAACAAAAAAACCCTAAAACGTTTCCCCCCCTGCCCAAATGTGAGGGCACTGATGTCGTAAAGTTTTTAACTTTACTATCTTAAACTAAATTTAAATTTTGTTGAAAAATATTGTAAATTATAAAAGTTATGACTATGCAAAATTTCGGTAGGGATCGGTAGCTTTGTTTATCAGCTACTTGGTCGATTATGATCATTAGTGGCAGCCGCCACAAATGGCTATTCGATGACTAGCCGCTATAAATATTTCAGAAAGTTATTGGCTGGTTATTTATAGCGGCTACCACTAATGGTCCACTGAGTAACCGATGAGCAAACTCCAATGAACCGTTCAATAATGTCTCTATAAGTCCACAACAAATCCACTGAAAATATTTTTGCCCGGCATCAGTTTTTTATTTAAAAAAATAAAAATAAGATCTACATTTGCTTATAACATTTTAGTAAAATGTTATAACGAACTTTCGCGGTGCTCTGTGACAATACCGTTAGGTCTTCTTGAGACACCTAAAAAAAATAAATAAAATAAAGTGAAATGTCATATTTTAAATATTTTCCATCGAAACATAACCATCAAGTAATAAATTATTTTTTTTAACTCTAATTAGTTAATAAATCAATAAAATTTTTTTTTTTTTTTTTTAATAAAATCAAATTGTTGATTTAAGGAAAAAATTTGTACAAAGTGTACCCAGTAGCGGATTCATTTAAGGAAAAAATTTGTACAAAGTGTACCCAGTAGCGGATTCAGCATAGGTTGTGGAGGTATGGTACCCCCAACGCTTTCTTAGATATTCAACTAAAACCTCATTCAACCTCCAAAAACATTTGCTTTTACTTTTTATATAATTTTCTCATTAAAAAATCTTGAGTTTAACAAACCATCGTTTATATACCTGCATTTCGAATTAGCCCGCATACATTACAATTACAATTAATGTAATTGTAAGATATATTACAATTACATTAATTGTAACTGTAATATATCTTAATAATTATTTAGTTTTCACTATATTTGCTCTACTAATTATATAACACGCTGTATTGAGCACTTATACTGGAAATATTAACATAATTCCTACAATATATATATATATATATATATATATATATATATATATATATATATATATATATATATATATATATATATATATATATAGTATATATATATATATATATATATATATATGTATATATATATATATATATATATATATATATATATATATATATATATATATATATATATATATATGTATATATATATATACATATATATATATATATATATATATATATATATATATATATATATATATATATATATATACATATATATATATATATATATATATATATATATATACATATATATATATATATATATATATATATATATATATATATATATATATAATATATATATATATATATATATATATATATATATGTTGATAAATTCTAAAGTTCATACAATAACCTTAATTTGAATCTTAAATTAAAATTGGTAAGAGACAATATCTTAGAAATGGCAAACAGCTGCTGAAATTTAAGGAACTATTTAGTTAACCTGAGTTAAACTGCTGAGTTTAACTCAGGTTAAAAAAGCTAAAAGACACGAGAAGTGAAAGAAGGCTTAAATTTTTTTTTTTTTGCGTATAAATCTTTTATATAACGGCAATATATTCAGCTCTTGTCAAATTTAAATAAGAAAATATAATAATCATAACGATTATTATCGGGTTTGAAAAACACACATTCAACCCAGGAACAGAACAAAAGTGAAAATTTGTTGCATAGTGTTTCTTTCAATATTGAATTCTCATAAAATTAGACACACTGATTTCATTTTCTATCTCTGTCTTTTCCATAAAGATTTTTTTTTCATGAAAATGACTCTGAAAAAGATTTAAAAGCGTTACCAAATACATTTTTTGTATCTATTTTTACATAAAGTATTATTATCACATTTAACAAAAACTTAATGAAAACGATTTGAAAAAAAAGACTGTTGGTTAATTTAGAATTCAGAATGTTGATTCTGTATTGTCCATAGTGGTTAATTTTTAAAGATCCTAGATTATATTAAATTATTGATTTTGTAAACTTTTTAGTATGAAGTTAAAACATCAATAACTTTCTCGTAATCCGGTGTGTTACAAATGCAGATTTAGTATGTTTAAACGCTGCATGCTTAAACTTTTACGGAACACTGATTGAGGCTGCTTTAAATTACACGCATATTTACTTATGTCCATTAGTTATTAATGATAAAAAACATATACTCAATATTTTGAACTCAATGAGGTAAAAAAAACCGGCTCCGATTGGAAAGGTGTACATGTACGCCACTGATGTGTGCTGCTGAGAAAATGTTTACCTAGGTCTAGCATCTAACTTGAAGAAGTAACAAGCTAAAGCTGTTTCAAGCTAAAGCTGTTTCACTTTAACAAAAAAGATGTTTCACTGGAAATTTGATGGCCAAAAGTTAACAAACGTTGAACTTCCACACTACTTCAGTACCAAATTTCAAGATAATCTGGTTATGGCTACTCCCACTAATCCAATTTAGTTAAAAGGTATAAAACCAAATAATATCTAAATATTTTTACTATTTTTTTTTTTTTTTTTTCAATTTTGATGAAAATAATTTAAAAATAAGAATAAAATTTTTTTCTATTTTTAATTGCAAACTGTTGTTAATAGAAAATAAAACAATTTTATAAACATTTTTCAATATATAATCAATAAATAACATTCAATTAGGTCCCAGTAAAAAAAACTCACATTGGATAAGCTTGAGTTTTTACCGCATGGGTTATAGGTGGTAGGTTTTTCAAGGGATTATGGTCGCAAATCTCAAATAGGCTATAGATAGTTAGTCTCATTTTATGATAAAAATAGCAAACACAATTTTGTGACTCTTTTCAGAATTGTTATTTTATATATATATATATATATATATATATATATATATATATATATATATATATATATATATATATATATATATATATATATATATATATATATATATATATTGTTGCTAATCCTATTAGAATTTCAATTAAAAAATGTTTTTCAAAAACACTTATTTGTCCTCTAGATTTTTGAGTAAAGTTGACAAATCTTTAAGGATTATGGACAAAATGGTGTGAACCTATTTTTAAATTTTAAATTAGAACAAGGTCTATACTTTCCTATGGTTATTTTGTTACATTGCTACATACTAGCTAATTGAGACCAAAATAAAGATAAAATATGTAGAACAGACAGACTTGTTTTTTCATGCTTCAAAAGTACTTAAAAATTGATTTTTTGTTAATATCAATTTTCATTTTTATCCAAAGACTTTGGTAAACAATATATGTTTTTTAAATTATAGCTTTTCGTTTATTAAAATATCTCAAATAATAAAATTATCTTTGGTAAGTAAAAGGTAAGTGTTGTCCATGAATAATATCATGCTGTAGGAGGAGCGGAAGTAGGTGTATGGATTTGTAAAATTTTATTTAAGAGAAAGTAAAAAAAGTTAAAAGGCCCCCAAAAAAAGCGTGATATAGTTTATGATGAGCCTCATAGTCTTATAAAAATAAACTCAAAAACAAAATTGAACTACATTGTGGTTTTTGACGAGAATAGACGTGTTTTGCAGGGTTAAAAAAAAATTTTTTTGTTGAAAAATATTAAATTTAAAGTTTTAAAAAGTTTATTTATAAAGTTTCGAAAGGAAGTACTATTTATATTTCTACATCTTATCGGCTTGATTTTTTTTTATCCAATGTAGTTCAATTTCGTTTTTGAGTTTATTTTTGTAAGACTATGAGGCTGATCATAAACTATATCACGCTTTTTTTGGGGGCCTTTTAACTTTTTTTACTTTCTCTTAAATAAAATTTTACAAATCCATACACCTACTTCCGCTCCTCCTACAGCGTGATATTTTAGTAATTTGTTGTACTTTTTAATAAAGTTTTATTTAACAACATTTATCACATTGGTAGTGTAGTTGAGTATTTTGTGGTTTTCTATGAGAATAATTTTTATTATTTTATATTATCATTTACATTTTAGTTTTTTTTTTGTTGTTGTTATTTTTGTTCATAAACTTTATTTATATTTTGTTTTATACATTTATCTTATTATCTTACATAATTTTTATTTTATTTTAAGTTTGTTATATTATTTGATATTGAATTCACTACTCTCACTATCCATATTAATTCCTCAAAAATATTAATGCTTTACAAATTTGGGTGAAGTTGTGGTTTTGGCTGTTTTGTAGTGAAGTCCTTTTTTACTTTAGTATGGAACCGTAAATCGCGGGGTAAAGCATAAATGGCGATGATGTTTATCTGACGGGATAAACTAGGTATTGGTGCTGAGCCTCTTCATAACGCCGTTAATAATAAATGCGATTATGAGGAGAAGTTTATTACCACCACTACATAAATTATGATTATACAAAAGCAATAATATTTTTTCTTTATCTTATAGCTCCTATGATTTTATATTTATTCATTTTAAATACTGATAAGTCTATACACATGTATATCTATTTTAAGCATGTTAAACATTTGTATTTAATGTAGATTTATGGTTACTTATGTGTCCTGTTTTGCTTTTATTACATTTCTATTACATGCGCAGTGTCTAAATTATCATTATTAATTTTTGCTACACGCTTTACTTTAGTGTCTTTGTTTTTGTTCTGAACATCTGTTAAATATATATTTTAAATTTTTTTTATCCTTTCTCTCTTCCTAATTTTTTCCTTATTTCACTTGGGCTTGGCAGCTCGGCCTCGTCCTTTGATGCATATTTTTGCATTTTTTTAAATTTTGGAAGTCAGTAATTTAATTAAGTGAGTGAGTAATTTAATTTAGAAAGTGAGCACTATTTAGTTCAAGAATCTAATCTTAACTTCTTTTTGAAAAAAAAACAATTACAAAAACTAATTTTTCTAAATCTAAATCTAAATCTAAACATTCAAATTATTAATAAAAATTCAAATAATTTAAAATAATATTTGCATAAGCTAAAGCATGATTTTAAAATAATTAGTCTCACGGAAAAGCTATGAAAGAAATTCAAATCATGAACTAAGTTGTTTTATATCAGTTCAACAATCACATCAAAACCACGTTTTTTTTTTAAATAAAAAATAATTCCCTTCCAACGACTGCATTAATAAGTTAAAAACTAGAAAAAAAAGAATAGAGTTAAAGAGCAAAGAAACGGTTGACAGAAGATTTAAAAAGCTGTAGGCTGTATTTTTTTCATTTAGGCGCCCCAAGAAGACCTAACGGTCTTGTCACAGAGCACCGCGAAAGTGCATTTAACCAGGAAGTTCACGCCTCCTTCCTTATCATGACACGAAAATATGTTCAGAGCTCGTTTCGAAACTGGATCTCCTGCTTATTAACCAAGCGCTCTTACCACTGTGCCACGGCCGCACTTATATATATTAGTTCAACAACCACGTTGAACTGATATATAAGTCTGAGTCAGGAAAACATGAAGATGAAAAAGAGTTTCAAAGGATTGAAGTGCTGGGAAGTAAACTAAACGAATAAAAGTTTTTAGAGCATGCAGGGACATGTAAAGTAAAAGAATGAGGCTGCTGAATAATGTGTCAAGCGAAAATGAGTTTTAGTTAATGGAACTAAAGATGACACCTGGGACAGATACATCAAAAGGATGTGACTTTGCTGACTGACGAGTCAAGATAGAATAAGTTTTGGGTGATGGCACTAAAGATGGCAGCTTCTTTGAGCAGCAACCAACATAGTATTAGTAGAAAAGAAAAAAAATGCGATCTTAATACAATGGGATAATGACTCAAATTTAGCAGGTAAAGCAGATCTAACTTACGTTTACGATACACTTTTGGAACTTGTCAATAAGAGAATGAGCATTATTAGAAAAACAAAACCAAATATGACAACAATATTCCGTACCGGGACAAACAAGAGATTCGTAGAAGTAGAGAATAAAATCAGAAGTAAGACAATGGTAAACACGACAATTCTAAGCAATTGTATATTTAGTTTCCATCAGATATCAGTAGTGAATGGTAATTCAAGAACACACGAAGAAAAGGTCTCAGTAAAAAGGTTGTTGTTTATTAATATAGCAATGTTGAAATTATTGCGGTACAACTGCTATTTTTTGTAGTTAAAATTCACAAGCCACATAAAAGCCCAAATCTGTTACAGAAGCGAAATCAAATTTAAAATAGTCTTCTCTTTTTGTTCTAACAAAACAAAAAGAGAAGACTATTTGTTAAGACAGAGTACAAAGTTGTCAACAAATAGAGTCACTTTTGTAAGGCTATGACAGAAATGTTTTCTGAAACACAAGATTTGGATGATGAATCTTGGATGTTGATTTGAATGTTTAAAAACAGGTTAGCTAAAATGACAGGAAGAAAATGGCAATTAAATTCAAGAGATTAATTAGAAGAAAAGTTGTTTTCAAATATTAATTCCTTATCTTTGGAAGAGGTAGGAAGATCAAACCCATAAATTAAAGATAGAATTAGAGATGTAATGTTAGACTAACCTTTTGTTAATGACGCTGATGAATTTTTTTTTAAAGTCTTTAGAGTCTTACCTCTGAGATAAGGTTAAATAAACTAAGTTTTGATTGGTAAGTTTTGATTGGTAAGTTTTGATTGGTAAGTTTTGATTGGTAAGTTTTGATTGGTAAGTTTTGATTGGTGAGTTTTGATTGGTAAGTTTTGATTAGTAAGTTTTGATTGGTAAGTTTTGATTGGTAAGTTTTGATTGGTAAGTTTTGATTGGTAAGTTTTGATTGGTAAGTTTTGATTGGTAAGTTTTGATTGGTAAGTTTTGATTAGAAGAAGAGCAACAAAGTACAAAGTGAACGTTTATTCAGTGAAAAGGCGCTGAGAGTAAACACATAAAAGAATGGTGAGAGAATTAAAACCTGATTTCTCAACAAATAGGTGAATTGATGCGTTAGTATACACATTAGTCAAGCATGTGACTATTTAAATCTTTGTGAATCAAAAGATATTAGTCATTTGTACTTTGATCGGAAAAAGAAACAGTCAAAGTTAAATTAGTGTAACAAAAAGGAAGCAAGTATGGTGAATTTTGAAAAACGTAAGATTCAAACGATGAAAAGTTATTTGGAAGATTGCAAACATTTGTTAAAATGTATTAAAATTCTTTGATGCTGGTAAGTTTTTTATGCTTAATATTATTGGCTACTTTAATAATAATTTAATTTAAAAAGAATCAATCTTAAATCATTCATAAGTAGAGCATAGCTCTTATTGCATATAGCAATAAGCTATGCAGTTATCTTAATCCTTCTAATTCACTCAAAGTCGTAACTTAGGGCTCCAAATGTGCTCTTGACAATGCGCATCAAAAGTGCCAATAGAAACTCCATCCAGCGCAACATATCTTTGTTAATACTCTGATATTTCAAAGCTGTTGATGGAGTTAGCCTTTCTGAGAGTTACTACAGATTTCGGAAACCTTTACGACTAACTGGCCTCAGAACTATTAAACTAAATTTTTAAACTGTATCCTTATTTGGATGTTCAAGGCTGGTTAATGGAATTATTCTGCTTACCTAAATATTCTTTGCCTAGCAGGCCTTCTACAAAATAGTAGGTGGATGTAGTTAACCGCTGCCCTCGATAAGCATTTTTTAAGACACCATATACATTTTATATACATTTTTGCTCTCAATTTTTATAAATTTTATTTTATATAATGACCCTTTTATATATTAATGAAGCGTCATTGTAATTAATTCTATTTATGTAATACTAGCTGATAATTTAAGAAAGTTTAAAAACTCTAAAAACCTGAAATGTTGTTAAAAGGTAATTGGTAAAACTTTTAATTGATGAAAAAATAATTTTCCAAAAAAAATGTCGTAGTTTAAAAGCTCAACAACTTTTTTTCAAACTCAAAGCATTTATCAATTTAACCAATACAACTATAAAAGAAGTTTATTTAAACATAAGTGAGATACAAAATGCTTTCTGAAATAGTCTAAAAAGATGTTAACTGTGTTGGTATTGATAAAATTAGCGCTAATGTAGTTAAAGCAGTCCTTTATATTTATAAATCTTCATTGACATTTTTAAGCTTTTCATAAAGTTTGGCGTTGAGGCGGCAAAATAAAAAATTGACTATTTTTAAAATGGTGATGTGACAAATATGTCACATCACCATTTTAAAAATAGTCTAACTATAGACCTATTTAAGTATTACCACGTTTCTCAAAATTATTAGAACGTATAATGTATGACAGACTTAATAATTATATTCATCAAATGAGTTCTCTGACTAGGAGTGTCCCGGATATCCGGGCTGAAATTGCATATTATCCGGTCTCCGACCAGATATTAAAATAATCCGGTTGGTTACATCAGATATTTTATGTCAACAAATAATAAGAGAAAAACTTTTTTTTTTTTAACTATTGCTGCAGATAAACAGTTAGACCTGATAAACTATTTAGAATGAGAGAACCTAGAACACAAATTCTAAAGCGGTATTCTTTTAAAATAAAACAATGTTTGTAGATTCGAAGACAAAATTTTTCAAGTTATATAGTTCAAGTAAACAAGAATTAACTGTGCACAAGAACTACATATTTTGTCGTTTATTTATTTGCATTAGTATGTATAAACAAATCGCATTTCTTGGCATTGACGTGACAGCCTTGATTGCTTTAAATATTTTTATATTTAGAAAACAATCTCTCCGAAAATGCAGAAGATGCTGGTGGTAATAGTTTAAGAGTTAGTTCTTATTGCAGTATATGATAACCAATCATTTAGTATAACCAGAGGTGATTATACAAATAAAATGAGAGGGGGGAGGGGAGTGAATCCTCAAAAAGTTCTGTCTAGCTTCTAAATTAAAAAAAAAAACAATTTACCTCAAAACCAAAACTTAACCGACTGAATCGACGAATTTAATCGGCTAGTAGCCAACTAGCCGATTAAATTCGTGAAAACACCAACTATAACTTGAAAATCACCTTTGTTGGAGGGGAGGGGGAGGGGTGTAACTACCCCTCCCCCCCCCCTCCACAAACACACCCGTAATATATATATATATATATATATATATATATATATATATATATATATATATATATATATATATATATATATATATATATATATATATAAATTTGTAAAAACAATTATCTATTTTTTTTTCTTCTACAAATTTTTTAACTGTCAGCAGCTTCATCAGGAAGGAAGCTTCCTGATAAACCTACTGAAGGTGAAACAATTTGTACAAGAAAAAAATTAGATAAATGTTTTTACTAATTTATTATTGCTCTATTTGTAGAATACACTAACATAATATATATATATATATATATATATATATATATATATATATATATATATATATATATATATATATATATATATATATATATATATATATATATATATATATATATATATATATATATTCACCTTCTGATGGGGTATTTATATACATAAATATCCCATCAGAAGGTGAAGTTCTGGTTACGGAACATTTTTTTACATAGGACTTTGTCTTCTATCTTAAGCAGACAAAGATATGATATTGTAAATATATGGAAATGATAATTTTTTATCTTTATTACAAACGATAAGTTTGGAATAAATGATAAAGTTTGAATATATTAAGATGTGTTTTTTACTTGTTAATTGAAATACAGATACCTTATATTCTTTCATACTTTTCAACGGATATCCTACAGATAAAAACTTTTCATAGCATTCAAAGACTGAAATGTTTAAAGCTCTCCAGAAAATGGAAGGAAGTTCAAAAGAACTATTGCACAGGCATATTTTCCTTCAAGAGCATATAATTTTTATGTAAAATTTGAATAAATAAAAAAATGCAACTAGGTGAAAAAAAATCCATTTCTTAAAAAATGTAGAATATATAGTATAATTATAAAACGTCATATCGAACTTCTAAGCAAAATTTCGATTCACTGCATGTAAGTAGCTACTAAGTCTAACAGGAATACTTTTACTTCCTTAATATTATTATAATACATTTTAAAATAAGATAATTATTTTATTTTAAAAATCTTAAAAATATTTTTATTTAAGTATTTTTTAACTGTTCTACAAACGGTTTGAGCTCCTAGATTTTGCAACATGATTTTTTGAAAAAGTTTATGATCTCCTTTAAAATTATATTTTTTATTTTCCTTAGAGAGCAGAAAAGCCATTGCATTTAATATATTAAATTGCTAAAATGATAAAAAAAATTACATGTTTAAAAATACAGAAAAGTTCTTAAAAAATGTTTTTTCACTAACATAAAGCAGATGTTAATGTACAAATACAAAACAAAAGTGCTTGAAAGGTTGGTAGGGACCACACCCCGGTGGAAGTAGGTTCAAACCCAAAAAAAATTTGTGGAAGTAGGTTCAAACCCAAAAAAATTTTCCCTGGTTTATGAGATACTTTTTTGGATTTGTACTGACCTCTCCTTTCAAAAATAACACTTACGAAAAAAAAATTTGGGGTTCAAGAAAAAAAAAACATTTTTGTAAACATAACGAAAGACCAGTATTTTTCCTTTTATGTACAATAAATATTTTATTTGACAATTAATTATTCCAAGACCATTACATATTTTAAAACCTTTAACATGTTTACAATATAGTATGTTCATAATAGACAGTTATTTGATGGGAATATATTTTTATATCAATTATGGTTACTAAATTATTGAGCAAACATTTCAAATAATTTTATTACTAAATGTTAAAAAACAATTCTAATGGATTGGTTAAGCTCAATATCTTTATAAGATGGTTTAAAAATGCTGGAATATTTATATTTTAAATAGCTATTTAATTAATTCGTATAACAAATAAAGCCAAATTGAGACTTGAATATTTACCATATTGATATTTAAATACATATGAATTACAAATGATGGGTAAAAATAGGTATAGGTCTTCCAAAAACATAAATGTTTTTATTTAAAATTAAATCTTGAAATGTGCTCGTCTACTATTATAAACAATAACCGATCTCAGCAGTTTTGATTGATACAGTTTGTGACAACTTAGAACTTTGTATCTTTCCTCATAAAACTGTTTGAAGTCATAATAAACAGATTCAGAAGCCTGTCCTGACCAAAAACCAAGACCTTTTTTTCCAGGGTATTTTTCAGCCATTGATTCCAAAAAAGCTACATAGTACATGAATGACTATAGCATGGTACATGAATGACTATAGCATGGACCATGTATGACTATAACATGTACTTTTGGGGATACTTTTTTGTTTAATGTCATATATGCTTCCTTGTAGACATTGACTTTCCAATATTCTTCTCAGTTACACAAACCTTAAATAATTTAAAAATCAAAACATATAAAAGCAAAGTTAACGAATCTTCTATTCACGAATTTAAAGAAACCTTATCAAAAACAAATTGTTCAAATGTTTATCTACAATGCGACCGAGCTCTTACAAATTCTGCTTATAATATATTTATTGATACTTTTCTTAAGCACTACAACAAACACTTTCCAATTATTAAAAAAGAAATTATTAAAAAAGTTAAATATTTTCCAATTATTAAAAAAGTTAAATATTTGAGATGTCCATGGATAACAAACGGAATAAAAAAATAGTCTAAGAAAAAACAAAAGCTATACAATAAATATTTAAAAAATAGAAACGAAACAAATCTTACTGTTTATAAACAATACAAAAACCTTTTTGAAAAAATTAAAAAGAAATTTAAAAAAATGTATTTTTCTAAACAATTACAAAAGCACAATAGTAGTATTAAAAAAAACATGGGAAATTATGAACGAAGTTATTGGAAAAACTAAAATTAAGCTCGAAATATTTCCCCCCAGAATTGAGGAAGATGGATTGGAGTATACAGATTTTTGTAAATATCGGTCCTAAACTGGCATCCAAAATAAACAACTCGAACAATTCATTTAATAACTATTTTAGTGACCATTTTAGTTCATTCTCTGAGAGTGACCGATATTCTGAGGAATTTGAAGAAGCAACAAAATCAATTAGAAAAAACAAAGTTCTGGACATCGACGACATTTCTAGCAATGTAGTATATGATATTTTATACATTTTAAAAGATCCTCTTTTAAAGGTTTTCAAGTCATCAATTAGAACTGGAGTTGTTCAAAACAAATAAAAAATTGCGAAGATTTTACTTATATTTAAAACTGGAGACACGGCCTTGCTAACCAATTGCTAATCTATCTCAATTCTTCCAGTGTTTTCCAAACTCCTGGAAAGAATAATGTACAACCGACTTTACAATTATTTAACAGCTAAAAAAATTCTAAGTGAATATCAATACGGCTTTCAAACAAATCATGCTACGGAACATGCAACCTTAGACCTAATGGACAACATTAGATCATCTTTTGATAAAGGAAAATTTGTATTGGGAGTTTTTATTGATCTTAAAAAAGCTTTCGATAGTGTTAACCATGAAATTCTGCTCGATAAAATGAGAAAGTACGGTATAAAAAACCAAACTATTAAATGGTTCACTAATTATTTAAATAACAGACAACAATTTGTTATAATATACTGTATCACAAATACAAAGTTATTAAAAATAAAATGTGGTGTCCCCTAGGGATCTATTCTTGCACCTTTATTATTTCTTATTTACATAACGATCTCCCTACAGCCTCTACAAATCTCGATTGTATAATGTTTGCAGATGATACCAATCTATTTTATTCATCTACCTCTAATAATACCATCTAACCCTAACACTGACCCTAACCTTAACCCTGACCCTGACCCTAACCCTAACCCTAACCCTAACCCTTTGATAAAGTCAACATTGAGCTTCAAAAATCTAAAACATGGTTCAGTGCTAACATGTAACCATTAAACGCACAAAAAACTAAATATATTTTATTTCACTCAAAGAAACAGAAAAATAAACTATTATCAATTCTACACTCACTAAGTATTGAATACAAAAAAATTGAAAGAACCCAAACAACTAAATTTCTTGGTGTGATTATTGACAAAAATATTTCATGGATAGCCCATACAAATGCCATCAACACTAAAATATCCAAAAGTATTGGTATAATTTTCAAAGCTAGACCATTTTTATCACAAAAAAACCTAAAACTTCTTTTCTATTCCTTTATACATAGTTATCTCACATATGCCAACATTGCTTGGGGAAGCACACAAAAGGCAAAGTTAATGTCCCTTTATCGAAGACAAAAACATGCCTCTAGAATAATACATCATAAAAACAAACTGACGCACGCTAAACCCCTATTAAAAGAAATGAAAGCCCTAAACATTTACCAAATTAATAACAATGGCCAGAATGAAAAGTTTCTTAACTCCTCCGTCCATGAATTTGTCTTGCCTTATTCCCTTTCTTTACGAGAACTTGGTAAAAAGTTCATTTACTTCACAATCAAGAATCCTTAAAAAACTTTTAAAAATCCTCCTCCCCAATCTATTCCAATCTTTACAATGTAATCTGGGGATATTTCTCTTTTTTTCACTAGTTGATTTATTAGCTCAGACACATTTGTACAGCAGACTAAATATTTTGTTTGCTTATTGATTTGAAGTTTTGCAACATCAAAGAAACGATCTTGAAACAGTTTTGAAACACAAATTTTTCTTTTAGATTGAATTAAAAAAGAACACTACAAGCAGTTTCTGTTTGAGAGTCGCTTAACTCTAGTATAATTTTGAATCTTATGACTTCACTAGCTGGTAACATGTTTTCAGCAAAAAGACTTTCAACACTTTCGAATTTCAATATTAAAAAGTTTAGGCCCTTTGTTAGCAAGCTTTATTGAATCACCTGCATCCAATTCAGATAGTTTCCGCTTTAGAATTTTAGTACAAAAAAGCTCTGTACCTCTCTTATCTGAAATATATTACATTTACCATCAAAAATTGTATGTACCTACATAATACTATATTTTATTGGTTTAACGTAAGTTATTATTGCACATATGATTTTAGGTTAAATAATTATTATACACACAGACTAACCTCTAGTGCTGTCTCAAGATTATCCCTGCAAATCAAAATATTTTAGGGGTAAGGTAAACCACGTCCCACTGTACATAGACATCTTTGGTATACAGATATGGGTAAGGCAGGTAGCAGAATTGGTTTGCTGGAAAATCGTATTCCTTTTTTTCGATTTTTTTTCTGATCGCGGGGAAATGGCTTTATTTGCAACAACAAAACTGCACATTCACATGAGGTTGGGCTAGAGCTGGTATCCGGGGTTTAATACCAGCTCTAACCCAACAAACGACATTGGTACGGAAGGAAGCGTGAACTTCTTGTTAAATTCTCTCCTGCGGTACTCTGTGATAAGACCTTAAGGACTTCTGGGAGCACCCCAAATAATTACAAAAAAAAAGGTTTACTTCTTGTAATAATGGAAATTCTTATTCCAGAAAAATCCTATGGTGCAAGAAGATCTTCAGGTTCTTTTATACCTTTTTCAATGAGCTCTCGAAATTTTTTGTCGTGCAAACAGATACCAGAAACATAATGTTCCTTAGCCAAGTCTAAATTTGGGATAAAATAGTTTTGAAGTCTTTAATAGGTTGGACCAGTTATTTCTCTAATCGTTTTGTTATTCTCAAAGCACGCAATGTAAACCGTTTTCGGTTATCTTCGTGGTTTAATGCCTGATTAGGAATCATTGAAGTACTGGTGACATAAAATATAGAGGATGGCAAATATATATATATAAGGAAATACCGGGTTTAGTGGTTGACTTTTGTAGTTGGTTTTCATAGATTTTCTTAAATATATTGTAATAACTGCTACAAAATTATTTCCCTCAGGATAATCATTTTTAACACTCGTTAAGAATAATTAATGATTACAACACAAGCAATTTCCTTAGGAAAACTAAATGTAAAACTCTCTATAATGATTGATCTATATGAATGATTGCTAAACTAATCCCTCAGAGATTAGTTTCGCACAAGGAATTCTTGCTTGAATGAAAAAAGAATTCTTGCTTGATTGAAATAAAAGCCGTAGCACAAGATTCAATTAGAGTTAAAATAACCATGTAATAAAACTTTATTGTAATGATTATTTATATATATGTATTGAATTTAATTTATATGTATAATTATTTATAATATTTAATTTCATATTATAATTTATAATATTGAATTCAATACATTTATATATAAATAAATGTTAAAGAAAAACTATCACTAATTCTCTTTACTATATACAAGAATACAAAACATAACATATATGTTCTTAATAAACGTTGACAAATAAAAATAAAACCATATTAAAACTTCTGCTTGTCTATTGTGAATATTTTAAAGCTTTCAAAATATGTAACAGTCTTCAATAAATTCATAATCAAATAAAATATGTCTTAAACATATAAGGTAAAATACTTGCCTTTTTGGTTTACAAAAATGCAATTTTTCTTCTTGGACCCCGAAATTTTTTTTCATTGATGTTATTTTCAGAAAGTAGAGGTTAGCACGGATTCGAAAAAGTATGAGACTTTTTTTTGGGTTTAAACCACCTTCCACCGTGTTGTGGGATATTTTTTACTTATTGTTTTTCTTTTTTGTTTTATGTTTTTGTTAATATTTATTAATCAGCCTTAAATACTTAATATGTTATATTTTAGCCCTAAATACTATTATGTTCATTTTATTTATTAAATTTTAACCTAATGTCATCATTTCAATTTTTTTTTAAATACTAAAAAAGAGAGGATTTTAAAAATATGATACCTTTCAAATTATTTTGAAGATAAAAATGAGGTGTCCAGACATCCATATTTCTATTTCTATTAACTTTTTGGGGGTACTCTGATAGTAAATTTAAACCTTTAATTTCTGAGCTATTGAATAATGAAATAAATAAATTTTAAGATGATATACCAACAAAGACTGAAAAAAAAAAAAAAAAAAAAACTTTTTTTTTAATATTAAAATAAATTTTTTAAATAATGGCAAAAGTAAAAAAAAGACTTTTTTTACTTTTGCCATTATTTACATTGATTATATAATTACAAAGAAAAAGTTCTATTGTTTTTACAATTACCATTAGATTTTGTATAATGGCAAATTATTATTAAAATTGTGGTTCTAATACATAGTTTTTATCAACATTTGCAAAACATTCATGTACCTCGTCAATACTTAACATTTCTTTAGCTAAATTTTATAGTTGTACTCTGAATAAATTTTCTTACTTTATTGGTTTCAGTACTTCCTGGATAATGACTACATTTTTATATTTTTTATAGACTTTGTGTGTTTTAGATAAAATGCACCCACATATTGGCTTTTGTGGAATAGGTAATCTGTTAATAATAGTAGTATTTATTGTTTTATGTTTTAATAAAAACGATTAATTTTCGAGATAAATACTGACTCTAAATTGAACTGACAGTTTGATAGAAAATTACTGACAGATTAGCAAAACAATATTAAAAATGTTAATATTTATTGGCATGTTCCCGATTTTTGAATTTGCACAGCTTTGCACCGATTTGGCATGAAATTAATTAGGTCTTGAAAATGCTGTAAAGAAATGTTTTTCAAAGTACTTTGAACAACATTCTGTAATTAGTGCTGATTTCTTGGTTTTTCTTTAGAAACTGTCTTTTTATCCTCAGTTTGAAGGTTTTCAATGGGATTAAGGTCAGTTGACAAAGCAGACTAATACATAACTTCAATCCCCTCTTCCATAAACTAGTGTTATGTTTGTGTGGGTCTTCATGCTAAGACAATCACACAAAATGGGTTAAACCGCTAAAATGGATCTTCATGCAAGACAATCACACAAAACATAACACCTAATGGTGTTATGTTTTGTGTGATTGTCTTGCATGAAGACCCATTTTAGCGGCATTTCTTTTTCTGCATTAGCCAACATGGTGTTTTATAAAAAACACCATGTTCAATTATGCTTAAATTTTCTTTTTTAGCCCTTTGATTCATCAATTTTTCGGCTCTATGACTCATCAATTTTTTTCATTTTAATGCTTTTCTAATATATATTTCAAACATAATCATAAAAGAACTAATATCTTTTAAATAGGTTTAAGGCTGACGACACCAGGGGGGCCATGGAGGCACGTGCACTCCCTCCCCCCCCAACACACACACACACACTTTTTTTCTAAAGAACCTTTTTTTTTTTTTAAATCTTGATATAGAGGACTTTTTTCAAATTGATGATTGTGCCCCCCCCCCCCACTTCAAAACCCGTGTTGTTGGTCCTGTTTATTTTTCCCTTATATATTTCAAATTTTTTTAAATTTTACAATCTTTTTTCTTCGCTACCTGCTTCCCACGGTTCATAATTTCTGTTTAAATCAAAAATAATTACTAAGATTATTTCATTGGACTAACACCAATAGTAATCTTACTTTTGATAAATGTTAGTAAAATCTCATAAACAAAATTCTAATTTAAATAAAACAACAGCAAATAAAAGATATATATTTTTTTAACAATATAAATCTCAATATAAAACTCGTGGAAATCCTTCACTAATTTCAACAAAGATGTCAATGTTATAGCTCAGAATGCTATCAACCAGTGTTATAATTTTCTAATTCAACATTTATAAAAAACGATTGGTTGTAACAAAATTGTATGTTTATATTTTATTTTATGTTTTATTTTATAAATTTAGAAAGTATGCATGAGAATTTAAAAACAAAAAAAGACGTTTTTGATGTATCAAAACTTTCTTGTTTGTTTTTAAATTCTTATGCAAAGAGGCAGTACATAAGATTATGAGTTTTTTCTTGATATTGTGTTCCGATAATTCAAATTACTCGTTTTACGCGTTAATACGCGTGGAAGAAATTCAGTTTTTATTATGCTGAAAAACAAAAAATTGATTAAGAATTTAGATATAGAGATAAAGAATATAATTAGTTAAGCATGTTAGTTACTATGGTTATATTCTCAAATTAATCCGTTTGAAACATTTAATTATTAATCGTGTAAAATGTGGTGGTGATGGTTGATTCAAATAAATTTGTTAAAACTAAATAATAGTTATAAATATGTGTTATTAGTTGGGAGTTAAATAAGGTAATCAAGAGTGCATTAAAAAAAAAAATTTCAATTCACTTGAACCATTTAATTCACTTAAGTTATTCAACTAACTTGAATCATCCAATTCATTTGAACCGTCTATTCATTTGAAGTATATAATAAAACCATACAATATATAAATACCAAAATGAAATATTTAAAGAGCAGCCGTGGCGCAGTGGTAGCGCACTTGCCTTAGAATCAAAGGATCTGTGGTTCAAACCCACCTCTAGGCAAGTTTTGCGACATCGGTTAGGAAAGAGGAGTGAACTTCCAATTAAATGCTCATTCGTGGTGCTCTGTGATAAGACCGTAAGGACTTCTTGGGGCACCTAAATAAAAAAAATAAAAAAAATTAATGCACAACAAAAAAAGTAGATAGTATATTTTTCTTTATAGTTAGCTTGCTTACTATTTTGTTTCTTGATGACAAGACTTTATTCAAGTTAGTAAAACTAATTTAAATACTAAACTAAGTTAGTAAAACTAACTTTAAGTTTCAGTTAAGTTAGTAAAACTAACTTAACTGAAACTTAAAGTTTCATTTAAGTTAGTTTTACTAAATATGTTAATTTTTGTTTAGATTATACATACTATCATTTAGAAATAACTGTGTACTGTTCTTAACGAAAGAACCCCGAAATTCATATTTAATCGTAGCCTGGTAGAGAATTTTATAAAAACTTTTTAAACAGAAGCCTGAATTTTTTTAAATTGCATAAAAGGGTGCACACATGTCCCTCTGATGCGTTTGATGAGACTATATATCCATTTGAACACTTGTTCTATATATTTCAATGAAAACAATGAAAAAAACATTAGAATCTTGTGGACAAATTTAACAAATGACAAAATGACAGAAGTTGCTTTTTTAAGTCTCTCTCATCAAACTTTGTACTTTTAGTTTTTTTTTTATATAAATATTTTTGTCATATTTATAATTGTTATGTTACAATATGATTGTTTTTCAATTACAATATGACCAGATCAGTAGAATTCTTATCATCTAGCCTTCTTATGACAGAGCACCAACAATAAGCATTTAATAGGAAGTTCACGCCTCCTTCCTGACCGATGTTGCAAAACTTGCCCAGAAGTGGGGTTTGAACCATGGACTCTTTGTATCTGAAGAAGTGCGCTAGCAATGTGCCATGGCTGCTTAAACTCTCTTTAAGTTATGACAAGCGCATTCTAGCTTTTCAATTTCTATATCAGAATATGCATTTTTAACATTCATGTAACTTTTACTATCTTCACCATCTAAATATTGAACATATCGTAACTGTTGATTGCCAATAGAACGTTGAAAAATACGTTTTGCTCCTTCTAGCTCCGTACTCGTAAAACCTTGATAATTGTACTTGCAAACATAGGAATTTCGTACATAAGCATTTTGACCCGACGTTTGGAGGACTAAAGTTACATTACAGTCTTTACAATATCTGGAAATGATTTTAGCATTTAATAAATATATCAGTTTATATAAAAGATGTTTCTTGCAATTTATTAGCAGCATTTATTATTTTTGGTTCCCCTTTACATTTACAATTTAAAAGTGCATATTTAAAAACACTGGCGAGGCAAGTAGAAGATAGTATTTTGTCTTATCATCGAGCCCCAATCGTTTATATTTACAATTATATACGTATACTTTACAAATTATTTATTGAAAACTATAATGTAAAATAAATTAGTTTAAGAAATACTTTAAGAACAATATTCATGTTAAAAGTAATCATCAAGTAAACAAAAAAAAAATTAAATATATATATATATAAAAATAAATTAAAAAAAATTAAAAATTGTTTTTGGTTATTGGCTTAATAATATTATATATAACTAAAAACAGCAACACCGATAAGAAGTTTGTTTATAATATACATCTCGGGTAGGAGTTAATGTTTTTGTGACGACTCGTACATGACTTTTTTGCAAAGGTATTAATTTGCAAGCCATAAAATTGTAGAAAAAACCAGATATACAATCTTTTAAGTTAAGCGTATCTTCTAAGTTTTCAACTTTGTAATATGAAGCTGACAAATTAAGTGAGTTTCCAATAATTCATTCAAAAACATAAGTACTGTTAGCAGCATTTGAATTTATTGTCAGCAATTTATACGGCAGAAGTTAATTTTTTATCAGCGATTCGATATTTTTACTAACTGAGACTAAATCTTTTCTTGTTATGGTGAGTTTGTATGCGTTGCGTGAACCAACAACTTTTACCATTTTTATTAATAAAACTAAGCTGATATACTCGCACAATACTGCGAGATTATCAGCAAAACTGACTCAAATTGTCAAACTTGATGTACTAAAGATATCGCTTCTAAATTGATATCGTTTAGAGATTTAAACACATAATATTAGATAGTTAAAGGTTAATGTGATACTTCTAAATCAAGTTTTATGAAACTAAACAGTTTACGATAATTGTAAATGTAATAATTTTTTTTTTTTTGAAAATTTTCTTGGGTCAGTTTCTTATATAAAGAAGGAATATATATTCCCTAGAAGTCTTTTATGATAGTTATGTATTTAATAAAATATGTTTGACACATTAATTTATTCTTTTGGCTTTTTAGATATCTAATTTGACGTTGTTTTCTCATCTCACAACTTTTATCTTCTACTTACGATCCTGTAAGACTCAGAGAAAGTTCGAACAATAGGTTTAAAATTGATCATAAAAGTTGTTTTTTAAAATTTTTAAGTTCTTTTAAAGTTTAGTCGGAGCTTATTTTAGGTTTGCTTTATAAAATAAATTTAAAATAATAACATTTTTGATAACATATCTTATAGTGACTATTTTTAAAAGAACATTTTTTAATTTAGTACTTACAGTAATAGGCGCGTTTTATGCACGTTTTACTTAATCTTATAGTTGATTCTTTTGACTGTTTAGATATTCAACTCTAATTCGATTAGAAAGAATGCCTCAAAGGGAAACTTTTATATATGTGCTCCAAAGCATCATCAACTTCCAAAGGATCATCAACAAGATATTTGTTTAGCTATAACTAAAAATGAAGAGTTTAATCGATTTGAAGCTGTTACGGAAATATTTTACGAAACAAATACGTTGCAACAATGGAGACTTGAAGGTAAAGAATTAAAAAAACGTGGCTTTTATGGATACACGTCACTGTTCCGAGTTTAAAGACAATTTTGTTCTGTCAACTTGCAACTCAAAGAATTCCAATAAAAACGTTGAGATTATCAATAGTATTTTTTAAACAACTGTGAAATGGTTAATGTCAAACCAAACTATTTTTATTACACAATAATAAATTGTATACAAACTTTTCTAAAGTTTAAATGTCAAAGGACGTTAGTATATGCACATGTTTTTATTTCTTATTGAAATCTTATATACATTAGTGTATCTTATTTACATATCTTTTTGAAACTTTATTTTCTTTTCTAAAAGAAGAAAAAAAAAAGTGAGAAAGTGTGGGGAGGGGTGGGACAGCCACAACGAGGGGGTAGGGTCGTGAGAGGGAATACGTGCGTCCTAAACCCTTCCCTCCCCCCTCGGTGTCGTTGGTCCTGATCAGTAAAAACAAAATAGCCAAGTAAATGTGTCATTAACTAAAAATAATAAGGTAACCAGGTTTTCATAATGTACATGAAAAAAGATGCTTAAAAGATCTAAAGATAAGAGATTGTTTCAGTAATATCAAGTAACCGTAGTTTAACAACGCATTTAAAAAGCTAGATTAATTTTATCGTTTTAATATCATTTTTTTGTTTCGTATTTGTGATCGATAAGTTTAATGTAATTATGGAGTACTTTTGGGACTAAATAATTTTATTGTTTAAACATAAACTAAAGGATACTATAGATATTTTGTTTGTATATATTATTCACTTTTAGTTTTCTCATTATTTGTTTAGTACTAGCATATCTATTGAGATTTGTTACAATACGGCATGCTTGCTTTTGTTTCTTATAGACTAAAACTTGTTTTGATTGGTAAGTACTTTCTCAGGCAACATTCCCTGGGCAATGTTTGCCTCATTAAGTAACTATTTTTTTACTTCAATCAGTTGTTATTATATTACAGTGAACGAACAATTGAAGTAAAAAAAAATTATTTAAAAAAGCAAACTTCTTCGCATATAACTTTTTATTCATAATTTTCGTTTAATAAAGCTATCCATCACTGGTTTATCTTTAAAATTTAAAAGCTTTGTTATAATTGCTGTATCTTTTTTCCAACAGAAACTTTTCTGCTCGCTTTATGAGCTCTTTCAATTTTGACATTAAACCACAGTAAGTTTTTGCTTAGTTATTGAGTTCTAGTTTTTTGAAAAGTAAACATGGTTAACAGAATCAAAAGCTTTTGACAATAAAACTCAGAATGTATAGCAGTGATAGTTAAGGATGCCCCTGTTAGCAGTATTAAAAAAATTTGGCCGAATAACGGATAACTGGATAAATATAAATTGTTCGGTCAGATATTCGACCGGATATTATTTTAAGATCTACGGACAGATTTTTTTATTGTAAAATCTACAATGCGTATTTTGATGAGTCAAATATATTAAATCATTGCCGAAGTAAACATTATAACGAAAATTTTTGTTTGGAAGTTTTTTATAATAAATGTTCTGAATCGAAAACATTTTGTATTCCATGTAGAAATCAAATAAACAGAAAATCTAATAATTCGGAGTTACTGTTTTTCATTTCATTTTTTTTTTTTTTTTTTTTTTTTTTTTTTTTTTTTTGTATAGGAGTACTAATTTAGAAACATACTTTACAGTAGATGTCCCTATTAATTATTTCCATGATATACATAGTCTATTCACAGAAACATCTCAGACGTATACGGTATATGACTGGTGTCTCTTTATCGGTTTGTTGGAGAAAAGCCTAAAAGCAGTACTTTTGCATACAAGGAAATGTGAAGACACTTAACCCTATTCCTATTGTATGCATCTAAAAGAGACATATGACAATATGGATATACTAGTTAATGAAATCAAATAAAAAAGTCATCAATGTCAATGATCTGCGGAGATCTTAAAGTTATAGGTATGTTAATGGGTATGCACTCTGGTTTTACAAAATATTGTTGTTTCATTTACCTGTTATTGTACAGTCGTGTCACAACGAAATACTACAAAAAACGTAAATTATTTATTTGCAGGTTATTGAGTAATAATAAATCAGTGTATGATATATATTAGGGTGGGCTGATATACGTTTCATTCACACCACATTTTTTTGCATGTTTCAGTTGAAGAGATAAGACGTATTTTATTTTTGCGTAGGTTTTCTTTTTTTTTTTTTCCCCGTATCATAAGTATTTTTCTATAAACTTTTTCACTCTAATAATCAACTATATCACATACTTCTTTTTCTTAGTTTTAGTATTACTTTACTTTTTAAGTAAAACTTTTTTAGTATTACTTTCCCTACTTTTCTACATTTTACTATTATATATTTCTATTCGTGCTTTTGAGTAATTTTAATATAGTATTTTGTTTCTTAATATTCACTTGTATATACATAATCATATACATAATTATAGGTATATGAACTTGATTATTACACTAAAGTACAAAAAATTAAAAAAGATTAAGAAAGAAGTTACTTATAAATGAAAATATGCAGACCTTTTTTTTTTTTTAAAGACGTTTTAGCCCCTCCTTAGCGAGGGACAAAACCCGCCTCTGTTTACTCAAGTCTTATTTATAACTCTGAAGTTGCGTTTCTATCGTTGTCTAATCTTTTTGTTTATTTTCACATAGATAACAGGTCATTGTTCGTATAAAGAATCTATTGCAATTATTGTATTGTTAAAAAAAAAAAGTTATTTATAAAAAATTTATATAAAATATATGAAACTTATATTCGTGTTAAAAATAAAAATATATTAGTATATATCAAAATATATATAATTTAAATATTATATAAACTATATATACTGTTGTTTATACATAATCACGCTAAATGCCTCCAAAAGCCGATATTTCTGACGCTTCTAAAGCTAGTGGAAGCGTTATCAAAAACATTTGTTGAACAAACATCGACGATCATCGCCCTCAAAAAGCGAATCCAACAACTTAAGGAAAAACCCACTGCTTCCTCAACTACAACGGAAGCATGGAACGTTGCGGTCGGAAAAAAATTACCTAAAATGCCAGCTTAACTAGATATGCTTAATAGTATAGCTAATAAGAACAAAGATAGAATGAAACGTGACAAAAAGCTTATCGTTTTTGTCACGCTTCATTCTATCTTTGTTCTCATTAGTTATTTTTGTTATTAATTCGGACAATATAATAAAATGTTTTCGTTTACGGTCAAAAGATCCGAATAAACTTCCACCTATTATAGTCGAGAGTACAGACACTGTAATCAGAAATAATATAGTTAAGGTAGCAGGCGTAAATTTGAAGGCATTTATGTTAATCCAGAAGAAAAGACAATTACGAGACGAGTTGAAAAAGAAAAACGCGCCTCTCAATTTAAAAAACAACTGGGCGACGGTAAGTCATTACTACGTTATTGGTAATAATGCTGTGGTTAAAGTAGACAAATAGCTATCAACAATAAGTAATTTAAAAACATATAATGACAATTTGAATCTAAACGACATTCCTTTAGAACATAAATCATTTTCGACTATCAATCTACTACAACAGCCACTTTTCCATAAAATACCTTGCTATACCAATGCTACATCCTTTAAGAATGGCATGGTTTCTAGCATCAATTGAGACATACAAGCCTAAAATAATCTTCGTTACAGAAACTTGGTGGCAATAACTAACATTGAAAACTATATGTTATTCAGAAAAGATCGCGTGTCTATTTATGTCGACACTTCATTAAAGCCTAATGAAGTAAGCAAAATTATTTTATTAGATTCCTATGAACAAATTGATGCAAAATATTGTATGGTTCAGAACACATCCTTCTAGGTTGCATATACATGTCACACATGCTAGATCCACTTGAGAATATCGAAGCGTCCATTATTATAGCAAATGAACTTCTGTCTAATATATACAGTGGCTTGTTGATTTGTTAAGACTTTAATTTGCCTTATAACTTGCCCTATAAGATACCCTTTTAAGTGATTTTTTTGACAACCTCGCCGAGTCGTTTCTGATACAATTTGTTACTAAACCCACTTTTCAAATTGATGAAATCACAGCGAACAACATTCTTGATCTAATTATAATCGAAAATAAAAATCAGGTTCTCGATTTTATTCACCATGCATTTTTAACGTCTCTGAAGAAATCTCACCACGTCCTTCAATGGGATTAGGTTGGTAAACACATTGAAAAACGCATTTATCATAAAAGTAACTTTGTAAAGATATCAAAATACTGATGACTGCTATGATATTTTCCTGAACTACTACGTGGCTGCATGCAAAACTTATGTCCCAGTGATTAACTCAAAAAGGATTCGTCGAAGACGCGAATAAATAAATGGTGACATCAAGAATAAAATAAAAGCTAAAGATAAACTATGGTTTTGATGTAGAGCGAATGGATATAAAAATTTTAAACTAGTTTTATAGTTTTTATAGATTTCAGTAAAGCATTCGATATGGTTCCCCACAAGAGACTAACTTACAAACTTGAGACATATGGTTTTAATGGAAATCTCCTAAATTGAATAAAGTCGTTTTTAGACCAGCGGTTTCAACGAATCGTGATGGGCGATTAAGTTTCCTTGTGGCTAGAGGTGTTTAGCGGTGTCCCTCAAGGATCCGTCTTAGGTCCAATACTTTTTATCATTTTTGTGAACCACCCATTAGCTTCACAAAAACTTCTGATATCTACAACATAGCCGAATGGTACAAAACCTGGGAAATGAAACATAATCTCAATAAATGTAAAACCATGAACATAAGTAAAACAAACAATTTTTATGTCTACTCAATGCCAGCTAATAACAATAACAGTGTCGAACTAACATCAACTTTAGTCAAACGTGATTTGGGCATCATGATTACGCCAGACTTAAAATGGCATAACAATTCAACTTTTGCAACCAATAAAGCCAACCGTGTATTAGGCATGTTGCATCGTACTTTCAGTAACACGAGTTTACAACTACTTAAAATTCTATACACAACCTTAATACGACCTCATCTGGAATTCGAGGTAGCAGCCAGCAATCCATCATCAAGAATAGATATTGATTAAATTGAGAAAGTAAAAAGAAGAGCCACCCGTTTAATACCTTCGTACTGTCATATGTCATACAAAGATCGTCTGAGTATACTTAACTTAACTTACTGAGAAATCCGTCGCATTAGGGGAGATCTAAT